AGGTCCAGGCTGAAATGCAGATTACTTCAAGACAACTAGTTCAACTTTTGGGGCCAAAATGCTTATATTTCCTTATAGCCTATTATGAAAGCAGCAAATATGTATTGTTAGGATTAGATTTAGAATAGAGGCAAGCAAAAGGAAAATAGAGATCAATACTATTAAAAGTTAATTCCAGGGGCGCTTGGGTGGCTCAGATGGTTAAGCGTCTGCCTTCGGCTCAGGTCATGATCTCAGGGTCCTGGGATCGAGTCCCGCATCGGGTTCCCTGCTCAGTGCAGAGTCTGCTTCTCCCTCTCCCTCTGCCACTCCCTCTGCTTGTGCTCTTCTGTCTCTCTGTCAAATAAATAAATAAAATCTTAAAAAAAAAATAAAAAGTTCCATATCCTTTCTGATCTCTTTCACAGATTTTTTTTTCTAATATGAAATCACTCTGTAGTTAACTACTTTTTTCATTTGATGGTTTTTTATTTCCATTTCAGTAAATTTTCATTTTTTAAAAAAATATTTGAGAGAGACAGAGATAGCAAGTGAGAGAGAGCACAAGTGGGAAGGAGGGGGAGAAGCAGACTCCTCACTGAGCAGGGAGCCCGATGTGGGAATCGATCCCAGGACTCTGGGATCATAACCTGAGCTGAAGGCAGATGCTCAACTGACTGAGCCACTCAGGTGCCCAGTAAATTTTCATTTTATCTAATCCCAGACCATATTCAGATTTCTTTCGTTGATCCAGAAATGTCATTTACAGGTGGTTAGTCCAAACCTATGTGCAATTTAGGGATAGAGATTAATTATATCAGATTACTTTGTCCCTTGAGTCCCTTAATCTCTCCATTACATTTCATGCCACTGATTTGTTGATGAGACTGGGCCAGTTGCCCTGCAGATTTGTCTGGTTGCTTCCTTGCAGTGTTATTAGCTCTTTTTATTATTTCTAACAATAAAATTATCTGCAGCTTTTTCTAAAACACCCTTCTATATAAAAACTTTTCATGGTTTCTTATTAGCCACAGAGTAAAGGCTAAAACTTTCTTAGCTCAATATTTAGTAACCATCAGAATTTGTTATCTTTGCCTATTCTTCCACTGTTCCTCCAGCCAAACCTTTCTGGTCAGACACAAGTAGAAATAGGTAGTATTTGAGAATGTAGACTTTCGATCCAACTGTCTATATTTAAATTTCAGTTTCAGTACCTACTAGATGTGACAGTTCACATCATTCCATCTCTTAAATGGAGGTAACAGTACCGACCTCATAGGGTTGTTGTAAGGATATAAGTTAATATTAGTATCATCTTTAAAACAGTGTCTAGCACATAGAAAATACTGTAAGTATTATTAAATAAGCTTAAAAATCTAGCCTAATTTTTTCCCTTCTGCAAAACAAAAGACACTCATTGCACAATCCTTTTCAGCACCTTTACTCATGACTTGTTCTTGCTGGAGTGCTCTTCCCCTTTCTTCCTGTCTACAAAAATTTAACTTCTTCATCAGACATTTAACTAATATTATTTGAACACCTGCCAGATACTCAGTAATTGAGGTCATAGCAGTAAACAAGACAGAATTCCAGCCTTTAGGGAGCTTATACTCTAGTGGAAGATACAGTCAAGTACACTACAATGTGATAAGTGTATGACACGTGTACCTTCAGGATGCACTAAAGGCGTCTTACAGAGTCAGGGGAAGCTTCATGGAAGATGTGATATATAAGCGGAGAGTTGAACGAAGAAAAAGAATTAGCCTGTTAAAATGGGCAGCAAGACAAGGGAAGGAGGTGGGGCTTGGCTTTGAGAACAAAGTATAGTTCACTAAACTGCAGCTTTAAGGGAGAGTGGCTAAAGTTGAGGCTAAACAAGTAAGCAAGAACTAGGTTGCAGAGGGTTTGGAAAAGCATTCAAGATGGGTCTTCTCAAATCCCACTGTCTTCAGGCGTCTTCTCATTTCCTCCTGACTTTCTGTAGTGATTTGACTATAGAGTGTAGGGTTTGCATTGGGAAGAAGTTGCCTCAAAATAGTTGGAGGTGGTTTGTTTGGGGAAGAAGTAGTGATAAGATGGGGGGCAAAATCAGACATGAATTAAGTTTAATATTTTGGACTTCTATGGATGAGTAGAAAACACAAGATACTCAGGATTGGATGAGTAGAAAACACAAGATACTCAGGATGGGATATCCTAGAAAAGGAAAATTCCAAGAGAGAAAGAGAGTCCATGTGCAAGGTTTCTGGGAACTGTATTTCATTAAAGATAGAACTTTGAAAGGGAAGAGATGAGACTGAAAGAGAAGGTAAGATCCAGATCATAAATGGAGACAAAGGTGTTCAGGCGTTTTCTAGTAAGCATTTGGAAATCATTGATGGATTTGATATGAGAAACAAATTGGATAATGTTTGCATATTAGAAGTGAATTTAGCAATTTAGAGAGTAAATTTGAGGAGACTAAGTCTAGAGGCAAGATAACCAGTTAGGAGGGTACTGCAGTAGTAAAGGTCAAAGGTAATGAACCCAGCAAAGAGCAATAGTAGGAAGAGAAGGAAAAGAGATAAATTTTACAGATACTATTTAAGACAAAATTAGCTGGACTTGGAGATGTATCAGATGTAAGGGTCAGGTAGGGAGGAGGAAGAGTCAAGAAAGATTGCTAAAATTCTGGCTAAATACAAGAGCAGTAACAGATGGAAGAGGAGGACGATTACTAATACTGAAAAATCAAGCTCAACATGCCTCTGAGACTTGAACATGGATGTGTGCTTTGACTGATAAAGGGAAATCCAGGCTTGGTATCCATAGACATGGGAGTCATTGATGCATAGGTGGTGGGAGTTAAAGCTGTTGAAGTGGATGGTTATGCTGATAGCATGTCATTTTCTGTGTGCTAAGCACTGTCCTGAATGCTTTATATACATTGTTTCATTTAATTCTTGTAACAACCCTGTGAGGTTGTCATTTTACAAAGAAAAAGAAAGTGTCATATAGAAGAGTTAAGTAGTGTTTAAAGCTAATAAGGGACAGTCAGGAGTGGAACAAACTAACTTAAAACCTGAAATCTTAAAACATGATGCCATGGGTGAATGGAGAAGAGTGCTCAGGAGAGAACGCTGGGGAACTTCAACATTTAAAGGAGGATGGTCACAGGTGGAGCTGCCTATCTACACATGCTCACCATGTATATATGGAGAAGGAATCGGAGAGGTAGGAAAACCAGGAAAGTGGTTAAGACAGAAACCAAGAGGAATTACCATAACAGATTATTCTGTGTGCCAAAAGCCACAAAGAAATAACATTTTAAAAATTTTCATCAGGTTTAATAAGTTGGAATTTATTGGTAATTCCTGTTTAAGTGGAGCGGTGGCAACATAAGTGAGATGGCATAATTTATATAAAGCTCTTGAGCATAGTAGATAGCATATTTTAAGTACAAACAAAAGTAGCTCCTATAGTTACGGAGTTAATAGGAGTTAAAGTGGAGACAGTGAGAACTCTTTGAGATACTTGAATCTGAAAGATCTTAACTAACTCAGGTAAGTTGATTTGGTTGGGTTTAAATATGGATACATTTTTTTTAAAGAGAATAGAATTTCCATATGATTTCTGATGATAATGAAGAACATATGGAAGGACTATAGCATTGTAATGTTGAGGGCCCAGCTGAAGGAGACTAGATTTATATGGTTTCAGTCCTCCTGGTATGGAGAACCCAGGAGTAGAACCCAGGAGTAGAAATAAAAGTGAAGTAAAGGCATTCAGTTAGGTTGATCTAGATTTAGGATTTTGTTGAATGCATGTGATAGAAAGGCTAAATCGGGGGGATGGGGGAGGAAAAGAAAATGAAGGTTTTAATAAAAGAGTATTTTAATAGTTTAAGGGGTGCTTGGGTGGCTCAGTAGGTTAAGCGGCTGACTCTTGATACTGGCTCAGGTCATGATCTCGGGGTTGTGAGATCTAGACCCGAGTCAGGCTCTGTGCTGGGCATAGACCCTGCTTAGGATTCTCCGTCCCTCTGCTTTCAGGCATGTACATTCTCTCTCTTTCAAAAAAAAAAAGTGGTTTAAATAATAGATCAAAGACTGTGGAATTGGTAGAGAAAAAATGGAGTACTAAAAGTGACTGTAAAGTTAGGAAAAATTTAGAACTGAGATCTTGATAAAAGTGACAAATATGGTGACTAACATAACATAATAAAAAAATAATAAAGTGACAAATATAAGGGGAATGAGAGGCTGTGGTCAAAAAAGGGGATTTTAAAATGTGCAGAGGAGTGGTTCTTGGAAGTCACTGAATTTAAGATCAAGATTTTGAGAGACTGGAAAACGTGATGAATCATCCAAATGGGCGTTAAAATTGTCGAGGATATAATGAAACTTGGGGTGGTTTTGCCTGAGGTTCCAGAAAGCAAATTGATTGGGCCTTGTTTTGGACCTTTGAAAAACTTGACCTTCGTGTGTGTATGTATGGGATCAGATTACTTATGTCCCAGGACCTAGTGCTGGAGCAGAGTGTTGCTTCTGGTTAGATGGCAGGATTTAGGTGTACCTGAGTAGTATCTGGACTAGTTGATGAAAAGAATCTATCTACAATAATAATGTAGAGGAGGTTAAGCAGTTTGCCTAAGGTCACATTCTGGGTGGTTCTAAAGCCCATGCTCTTTCACTAACCCTAGTGTTTTTGCAACAAGGTGAGCTCTTCAAACATTCTTTCCAAATGTTTGGGAGAACAGTTTTGTTTTATTTTAGCTTCTCCAGAGTTAATGAGTTTTTTAGTGCCAAACATCTATAAAGTGAAATGGAAATCTATTCAGGGAGCACCTTGAACAGAAAATTAACCTCAGTGTTTTTAGACACTAGTTTCAGTAAATTGATCCATTAGTTCATTTGTCTGTTTATCTATTCTCCACCCATGTAATAGTGGTTACACAGTTTGAGAACACTGTATTTGGAATAAGTTGAACAAAGTATAATTTGACTCATTTGGTTTTATTTATTTTCTTTTGTCATCTCTAGCTGCCTATCCCCACCGTTTGAATCTCTTTTACCTTGCCAATGATGTCATACAGAACTGCAAAAGGAAAAACGCAATCATTTTCCGTGAATCATTTGCTGATGTCCTTCCTGAAGCAGCTGCTCTAGTGAAGTAAGTAAATTCTTACTGCTTTTGGGGATCTAAGCTTAGATCATTAAGAATTTTAGTTTTCGGGCGCCTGGGTGGCTCAGATGGTTGGGCATCTGCCTTCGGCTCAGGTCATGATCCCAGGGTCCTGGGATCGAGTCCC